TCATGTGGGTATTATTTTTTTACTTATTTATTTTAAAGGTCTGTGGCTAAGGATCTCATACCTATTTTCAGAAATTGTGCTGCATTCACTGCTCTGAAATGCCCTGCTTTTTCCATTTGCTTGATCACAAGTTGATCCCTGGTAGAACCTCACTTGGTAAAGCCATTATGACTCAGCCAAGCATTCTGTCATCACCTTAAAGTTTTTCCCTCCAGCTGTACACAGTATTTCTTTTCTATTCCTTTATGGCTTCATACAAGAGCAATACACTTTTGAAGATTGTTTCTTTTCAAGGCCCTTGTGAGACCACATTCCTTGAAGTCAATGCTTTCCTGATCACCTCTAAGCATTCAACATAAAGAGGAGGTAAGATAAATTACCTAGACTTGGCTTCAGGAACCTTAGCATAAGGCTTAGCTCCCAACACAAACAGCAGCCCTGTAGAAAAGTTGGATCAAGTGTTACTCATCACACATCACTCTGCTCATGCACCATCTCACTGTTCTGACCAAAAAATTGTGGGTTTTGTTTTTGAGAGGCCATCAGATTGCTACAGGCTGTGTGATGGTGCTATGCTAGGAATATCTTCTCTAGCAGCACAAGCCAAAGAGAAAGCCAGAGCTTACTCTGGAAGGCTTAAAAAGTACACATCTCTGTGCTATAAGCATCCTGCACCTCAAAACTGGGCTACAGTGTTTGTCTGCTGGGGATGAGCAGGCACAGGTAGGTCTGGAGACGAGTGCTAACCACCTGGCATTACCATGCAGTCTGATACATGTTCTTAATGGGCAGGAGTACTCATTACCACACTGATGAATCAGTGTTTGCTGACAAAAGGCCCTTTTGTCAGGGAATTCCTCATCAGCCCTGGGCGTTCTGTAAGTGATTCAGGTTCTTGTTAGTCCTAATTTTATAACTGCTAAAATTATTTCTCTATTATTTATGGACCCTGTACCACTAAGGACCAGCCCATCAATAGACTGACAGGTGCTTGCAGTAAAGAAATGGTGTTTTTCCAGGGTGAGGCTCCTGCAGAAATCACTGTACCTATCACAGCCCTCCAGGATCTTATCCAGCTGTTTCAGCCCCTCAGGTTGTTCTGATGTAAAGTCCCATGATTCACCACCGCAGCAGTGTAGATTCTTTCAGCATCCCCAAATCTCTTTGTCTGGGGTTTTTGTTTTGTTTTGGGGTGTTTTTGTACTATTTCTCTTCCCCAGAATTTGGTAATTCTTCAGCCATCTCCTCCAGTCGTGTCCCAGGTTGCCTTCCCATTTGAGGTGGGTGCGTGTGCTCTCTTCAAGCAGAGCTTTAGTTCCTTTCCCATTCATACGGAGACAGCAAACAGGAATCATAAGAGACACATATGCCCTTCTTAATGCAGACTACAGGCCTGTTACAGATGGCACAGTGATTCAAAAACACTACCCTGGAACTCCAGATCCCACTTCTATAAACATCAAGGTTGACCTTGGCAAAATCTCCTAGGCTGGAATTTTTCTTACCTGAAAATAGCCCTCTAAAACCTCAGCCACAAGGCTCCTTCTGGGGCCAGCGGAAGAAGAGCCAGACACACTTTTTTCCCACATCTTGGATATGTATGGAGGAAAAGGGACATGAATCACTCTCTGGAGATACTAGCTTTTCTCTGTATTGACTGCAAAGGGTTCTAACATGACAACATTGCCCTTAACCCCTAACAGTTAAATGATGTGAGCAAGGACAAGAATTTTAAAAATACACACCCCACATCTCAGTTTCAGAGGGAACTGAGCTGTGCAGTCCTGTAAATACAAGACTTAGCTCTGCAGTCATGTCTCTGCT